CTTGATCTTTATTTCTTAACTTTAATCTTAAATCAGGGTTGTACGGATACATTTCATGTAGATTAAGTCCTGATCTACTCGGTGACGAGATTTTGAAGTCATATTTTTGTTTGCCGAAATCATGCTAAATATTTAAATCTTTTCTTAATGTCTCTCATTTTTCATTCTCTCAACAGCGTCAATTAAAATACAAAGTGGCCACAAGTTTCGATAGTAAAATCTATTATATCCACTGTCAGCAACCGCCGCGCATACTGTGCGAAACAGATTCGCTTCAACAACAACACTCCATACAGCAGCAACAATCACTGGAAGCAAATAATACAAAGCATCCACACATCGCTCAGCACTCTGACTCGCAGACGAGCAGAAGCGAACAATCAGGTGGCGGTAGTAGCAGCACGCCACCACCAGCACTACCACACTCGCCTACAGAGGCAGTTACACGCTTGCAAAATCCACAGGAGTCTATAGATACAAGTGCTCAAGAGGATGACGAGGAAGAGGAGGACACCTCAATGATGTCCGATAATGAAACATTCCTCCGTCTGTTGGAGGAGCAAGAGAAAATTTCCTTCATGTTTCGCTGTGCGCGCATTCAGGGTTTGGACACCTTTGAGGGCCTGCTGCTCTTCGGCAAGGAGCACTGCTATATTGTCGACGGCTTCACGCTGCTGAAGAATCGCGAAATACGCGACATTGATACATTGCCACCAGGTGCATATGAGCCGATTATACCGAATTCGGGTGGACCTACGCGCACGCAGAAGGCTCGCCAGTGCTCAAAATTCGCCTATGAAGAAATTAGAGAGGTGCATAAACGCCGCTATCTGCTGCAGCCAATAGCCTTGGAGGTATTCTCGGAGGATGGACGAAATTATTTGTTGAGTTTCCCGCGGAAAGTGAGGAATAAGGTGGGTATACTACGGCGGAAGCAGGTTGTTAATGCGCCACNCGAATTCGGGTGGACCTACGCGCACGCAGAAGGCTCGCCAGTGCTCAAAATTCGCCTATGAAGAAATTAGAGAGGTGCATAAACGCCGCTATCTGCTGCAGCCAATAGCCTTGGAGGTATTCTCGGAGGATGGACGCAATTATTTGTTGAGTTTCCCGCGGAAAGTGAGGAATAAGGTGGGTATACTACGGCGGAAGCAGGTTGTTAATGCCATTTGAAATCCTTCATTGACCTCTTTCCCCCCCTTCTAGGTCTATCAACGTTTCATGGCACAGGCGACAGCCATCAATGACAACGCACAGCAGTCGGTGGCAGGCCAGAAGCGAACAGCAAGTGTGGAGCAAACCTCGGGCATTTTTAGCAGTTTGATTGGCGAAACATCAGTCACGCAACGTTGGGTGGTACGTAAGATCTATTTTCATTGTACTCAGATCTTTTATTNTGGCGAAACATCAGTCACGCAACGTTGGGTGGTACGTAAGATCTATTTTCGTTGTACTCAGATCTTTCATCAGTATTTTCCCATTAACAGCGCGGTGAAATCTCCAACTTCCAATACTTAATGCATTTGAATACGCTGGCTGGCCGTTCGTATAATGATCTCATGCAATATCCAGTCTTCCCCTGGATAGTCGCCGACTACGAATCGGAAGAGCTAGATTTGTCAAACCCAAAGACATTCCGTGACTTCTCGAAGCCGATGGGCGCGCAATCAGAGGAGCGCCTAGAGCAATTCCAGAAACGTTTTAAGGTAAAGAAATTTTCTTTTTCTTTTTTTTGTGGAAAAAATTGCAACTCTCTTGCTCCCAATATTTACACTCTTTAATAGGAGTGGGATGATCCACATGGCGAGACGCCTCCCTACCACTATGGCACGCACTACAGCTCTGCCATGATTGTTTGCTCGTATCTGGTGCGTTTGGAACCATTCACACAACACTTTTTGCGTCTGCAAGGCGGCCATTTCGATTTAGCTGATCGCATGTTTCATAGTATCAGAGAAGCGTGGCAATCCGCATCCAAATTCAATATGGCTGATGTAAAGGAGTTGATACCGGAATTTTTCTATCTTCCGGAATTTTTGAGCAACGGCAATAATTTTGACTTGGGTAAGCAGATGAATAAGTTGGGGAAGTGGACTTGACTTAACGCGTTGCATTTCTCTTAAAAAAAAAAAAAAAAAACAGGCACAAAACAAAACAGCGATACGCTGAATCATGTCATCCTACCACCTTGGGCTAAGCAGGATCCACGTGAATTTATACGCGTTCATCGGAGTGCTTTAGAGTGTGATTATGTTAGCCAAAATCTGCATTTGGTGAGTGCCGAACGAAATTTTAATTCTAATTTAGCAGTTGCTTATAATTTTTCGCCTTCAATTCTAGTGGATAGACTTAATATTTGGGTGCAAGCAACAAGGTCCCGCTGCCGTGGATGCAGTGAATGTTTTCCACCATTTATTTTACGAAGGCAATGTAGACATTTACAAGTGAGTTGCTTTCTTCTATCCAAATATCTGTTGGTTACTGATTTTTATATTGTCCTTAGCATCGACGATCCGCTGAAGAAGAACGCCACCATCGGCTTCATCAACAATTTTGGCCAGATCCCCAAACAGCTCTTCAAGAAAGCACATCCTGCTAAGAAAATGTCCAATTCACGGCATTCCGCGCTAATCGATCCGGGCGCTTTAATACAGGGTAACACCACCGTTTTACAATCGGAACGTTTGTTCTTCCATAACTTAAATAATCTTAAACCGAGCCTCCAGCCAATCAAGGAACTGAAGGGACCTGTTGGTCAGATATTGCAACCAGATAAGACTGTGTTTGCCGTCGAGCAGAATAAGGTGAGCATGAAGAACGTGAAATATATTTCCGTAATTGTCCATCCATTTGATATGTACATACATATATATTTGTATATTTGTTAAATTTCTTGTCGCCCAGGTAATGATGCCACCCTCCTATACGAAATATATCGCCTGGGGCTTTGCCGATCACTCGCTCCGCATTGGTCTGTACGACTCCGATCGTGCTTCCTTTGTTTCCGAGGCCGCTGCACAAAACTCGGGTGAAATACTCTGTTGCGCTTGTCCCAATGGCAAAATGATTGTGACTGCCGGCACTAGTTCAGTTGTGACGATATGGAAATTCGATGCGAATCGCAAGAGTCTCACCGTACGCAACTCCTTGCACGGGCACACTGATGCCGTCACTTGCTTGGCAGCAAGCGCTGCATACAATGTAATCATATCGGGCTCGCGCGATGGCACCGCGATCGTTTGGGACATGTCGCGCTTCACATTCGTACGGCAGTTGCGCGGCCATGCGGGTGTTGTTGCCGCCGTGGCCATCAATGATCTTACGGGCGATATCGCGACATGTTCGGCAACTTGGCTGCACGTTTGGTCAATCAACGGCGATCCGCTGGCGATGGTGAATACGTGCGTAGGTAGCGCCGATCGCATGCAGCAAATATTATGTGTTTCCTTCTCGCAAATACGTGAATGGGATCAGGAAAATGTGGTGATCACTGGTTCTACAGATGGC